CACAAAAAAACATAATACAAATAAAACATCTTTTTCTGAGAATAGAATGACCCCGGGTTATCACTTCTTCATACATACACAAACTCAATTTCATGTTCATCCTTGTGTTCTATTCCATGTCTTATTACTGTTTAATATTTCCTACATAGTTTTTCAATTTATACCTTTAAGATTATAACATTCAATATAATACATAACTTCCAATCGAATTCTGCTTGGTACATTCTTAAAATACACACTATATTCTTAAAAAATTATATATATATGTAAATAAAACACTCATTCCATTCCAATTCAATTCTATCATTAATATTCATTAAAATCTTAACATCTTTAACATTTCTTTTCAATTGAATATCATACTTCCTTGTGAACACTTATAAACTTTCTATAATTAATTTTTTTTCCATGTTTCTCTTCATTTATATTTTTATAAATCATTAATAATAATTAAAGTGTTCCCATGCTTTCCTAATTTCATTCTCTCATTCACTTTATTTCATTTATTTATTAACAAATATTCTACTGCATTACAATAAATATTTTATCCATCATTTTAGTCATCATATTTTCTGAAATTATTTCTATTTCTAATATAACAATACTATCTTATGTACCTCTGCAGAATCCCTTTTTCAATTAAATTTTCACCCATTATCTCTAAACAGGCTTATACTTTCAATCCTTATACCTTTTCTCTGTTTCTCTATATCTTGTTTCTGTCTTTTATAGCTTCTTTTCCTTTCCTTCTTCCTCCTCTTCTTCTCCCTCCCCTTTTTACCCCCTTGTCCCTCTACTTCTAATTCTCTCTTCTGTAATCCCTTCTTCTGTTGCTTTCTAATATTGTAATTATTTTTCAAACTATTCTCTTTTTTTTCGTTGTTTTTTCAAATCTTAAACTTTTCACTTTCTTTCTCCCCTTTCCTCCCCCCCACATAAAATTACTTGATAATTAAAGATGGGTTCTTCTTTGTCCCAATCTTCTTGTTCTACAAGCGTTTCTTGTTGTTTCTCATAGTTCCAGATCTCCATTTCTAAGAATTGAAATACGAAGCCAAAAGAACCTCTTCCTTCTTGTGCACCTTCTTTCTGTTTTTTAAGTTCTATTTTCAGTTCTTCTAAAAGTGATGCCATTTTAAACACTTTTAAACAACCACCGATTGATTTTAGTCATTTAAATGCAATAGCCAAAAATCCAAAAATCACCAAGTAATCCAAATAACCCAAAGCTGTTTCTTCTTGCTTCTTTTTTCCACTTTCTCTTCCTGGGGTTCTATTATTTTGTTACAAAGTTTCAGTTAAAATGTATCTTTTAGGAATCTTGTTATGGTTGCACTGTAAATTCCTTTTAGTTCCAGGCTGTCTCCTCCATTTTTCCAGATCCTGCCCCTTTATTCTTTTTCTCTCCTTTCCTGCTTTTAAAAGCTTTTAAATATCCAAAAATCTTTATTACCCCTTTGACATTTTATTTTCAGCTTAAATGCCTATTAATGTCAAAGTGGATTTTTGTCAATTTCTTGCTTAAGTCTCTAAGCTATCAGTATAAGGAAGAGAACAAAAAAAAAGCCAAATCCTTTCCCTTCCCTCTCTCCTTCACTGCTTCAAGATCTTCTTTGGGAACAATGTTATTTTTTATAGTTTAAATTCCAGGTTACCTTACGTTGTTGCTTTTTAAGTTTAACCCAGTCAACCAAAACTTTATCTTCTTATCTTCCTCCTGCACATTCTTTTCCAGTCAAGTTCTTCTTTGAAGTGGCCATTTCTGACCACTGCTGCAACCACCTTTGGTAAAGGGAGTAATGGCCAGCTGGGGAGGAGAGATGCAGCTCTCCTTATCCCTGCTGGTAGTCTCCCCCCTCTTCACCACCTCTACAGGGTGGCTTAGCCCCAAAACCAGTGGCTCGGGGCGCTCCGGCGGCAAGCATGGATCAAAACCGCGCATGATCACACATTTCAGTCCATCGTCGAAGGAGCTCAAACTGGAAGTCAGATTGGTCTGTAATTTTCAACTAGGCTGGGGTCTCCCTTTTTGAAGATGGGGATGACCGTGGCTTGTGAACATTGTTTTGGCAAGGAGCTGGTCCTGAAAGATTTTTCAAAGATTATGCTTAGAGGTTCAACTATGTCAATGGATAGCTTTTTTAAGAAGTAAGCACATATTCCGTCCAGTCCAATAGATAGGGATGGTTTTAGATGCTTAGTGCTTTTTCAACAATGTCTTCTGTAAAATCGATATGTATTAGATCATTGTAGTTGTCTGTGGCTCGACTAGGAAGTACTGGGCTTGATCCATTGCTGTTTACTGAGCCAAAGAATGTGTTAGAGGTTTGCTTTGATGGTGTTGTTGTTGCAGTCGTTGCCATTAGGTCCTTTCAGTGGTGGGATGGATCTTGAGTCTTTTACTTTGTTGTTTACAAAATTGTAGAAAGCATGGGTGGAATTTGTGCACAGAAGGTTTTCCTCTTGTTTAATGTGATAATTAGTGCATTCAGTTTTTATCTGGTGGCATACACTTTTGTATTGGCTTTTAAAGCTGGCAACGTGACCAGATTTGTTTTTTCCCCAAAGTGATCTCTTTTTGGATTGAAGCTTCCTTATTGTTATGGATAATCTGTTTTTCCTGGTTTTGGGAGTTGTTATTGGTACATATAGTTTGATGGCTCTTTTCTAGTAATGGTCTTCAACAGTATTGCATCTAGTGAATAGAAATTGCCAATCAAGAGAAGAGAGATCGTTGATTATAAGATCAGAGTTGCCTTTTTTGAAGTTATAATTGGGGATTTTGTCGTGATGATTTTTGTGTGGACATATGTTGAGACAAAAGTCAATCATGTTGTGGTCACTGTTGGAAAAGCGTTTTTTAATTTGTATTCTGTAAATTGCATTCTAACTATTGCAGAAGATGAGATCGAGGCGGTTGTTAAGCCTAGTATTGTTGGTTACTAGTTGTTCCAGTCCCAGATTTGTTACAGCATTGTAGAAGGTTGCATGTGTGGGTTCAGTTGCACATTCATTTAGGGTCCAGTTAATATGAGGTAGATTGAAGTCACCAAGAAGGATAAAAGCGTGTGGGCAGGATGCTGCCCATGTTAGTAGTGTATTTAGCTTGTTTACATGTTCGATGTCATAATCAGGGTCTCTGTAACATAGCAAGAACCAAAATGTGATATTTAAGGTCAGTTCACAGATAATGGTCTCAGGAAGAGCAAGCTCTTGGGTAACTTGGATGTTTTTTAGATGTTAGGACTTTTTATAGAAGATAGCAACATCACCTCCTCTATGGATTTCATGATCAGATTGGTAAACATGATAGTCTCTTACTGAGGTAATGGAGTCAGGGAGAGATGCGTTGAGCCATGTTTCACAGACAAATGTAATGTCGTATTTAGCCTTATTTAGTAAGAGGAAAAATTCAGGTATTTTATTTACAAGGCTTCTTGCATTCAGTAGCTTGCATTTAAGGCCAGTTGTAGGTTGAATTGAGGTAGTTGGGGGCATGTGTGGCTACTCTTGGATGATGATGGATTGGTTGAAGTAGGGTTGGATGCTGAGTTGTGGGTTGTGTGACTTTCTTTTGATACAATCTGCATGGTAATCAATGTACAGGTCCTTCTCTCCATTGTCTAGATGATTTTTGAGTTCTGTGTGTAGTATATGGAAGCGGGCACTTTGCTGTAAGGTTACTTCAGGATGAGATTGGAGGTTTTTATGGTTGGGGTTGTTTTTGGTGAGTGAATTTATAGTATAAATGAATTTACATTTGCTTAATTAATTTTTGCAAATGACCCTGCAGAAGCATGGGGGTCACAGAGCCATCTCTGTTTTTGAGCTCTCAACCAATGTGGGAAATGTCAAGTATTTCATCTTGGGAAATGGTTGGTGCTTGATAGTCACTGATGATGTTGTGGACAATTGTGATATCATTGTTATTGATGTCCTCCAGACCAAATAAGATGGCGTTAGGATGCTTTCATTCATGCTTGACAGCTTCTCTGACGAGGATTGGGATATCATTATTTGTTGGATTTATGTTTTTTTGTGGATTAGGTTGAAAAAATATGGAACGCTCCATGAATTTGCGTGTCATCCTTGCACAGAGATTATATTATATATTATTATATTATATATTATATTATATATTATTATATTATAAGAAGGATATAGAATAAGATGAACTTTACTTACTAAAGCTGAGTGATGTTTAATCATTAAAAAGGATATGTGAACAATAGGCCAGAAGAATATTTTGTACAACCTTTTTATACTGGATTTACAACATTGATAAATGTTGGTGATTTTCTGAGAAAAGAAAAATAAATGAAAAGAAAGCATATGCTGGGATATTATTTGAGGGGACCGAGGATCAAGATTTTGGGAGTAAGGAGAAATGATACAAAAAGGGCTTATTTGATCAAGGATAAAATGGGCTTTGGTTATTTTTGCCAATTTTGAAAGGATTTTTTTAAACTAGAACTAAAAAATAATGTTCTAAGTTTTTGTTTTAATGATAAGAGGTTATTTGCTAGATTTAAATTTTTTCTGATTAAGTTTAAAATAGTTGAGGTATCATTTTTGGTACTCTTTATTGGTTGTATTTGATTAGTTAGGTTAGGTTGGGGGATTTGCTTAAGAACAGACAAAGAAATATAAATATAAAAGTAGGAAATTAAGTAGATTTATTAGATTTATTATATTAAGTTTATAATAGATAGGTGGTTGTTTCTGGTAAACCTTACTGGACATTTATTGATTAGGAAGAAAGATGAGGATTTTTATGTTTATTGAGAATGAGGTAAGGTATAAGGTGAAGTGGTTTGTTATGTTTTAAAAAGTGGTGATATGTTTTTAAAGTATATATTTGCTAGGAAAAAGGGAAGTTACTTCTTTTTTTTTTGTTCTTTGATTCCCCTCCCCCCATTTTTCACTTTTCTTTTTACTTTTTTTTTGTCTTTTATGGCTTCTGTTAGTTTCATTTAAAATTTAGACGAGCCCCCAATAGCTTAGCATTTGTCTAGGGCTCCGTGTGAAATACTGAGAGCTAGGAAAGCAGCAACATTTTGTTATCTGCCATTCATGGATTGATGTTGGTTATTCATTCTGGAGAAGCAGGCAACAGACATTAATAATAGCAGACTGTTATATGAACATGCACTTTGGAATACACATGTGTTTGGGCCATGCAATCATCGGTCAACCTGCTAGATTTGCACCAAGAGCTCCCAAGTCAGCAAAAGGATCCAGAGTTTGTGGTTTGGCTTGATGTGTGGGGGTGTTGTGCAATGATCCTGTAGGGCTGGAAGCAGTTGATTTGCTCACCATACCTATTTGATGTAAGAAGAGAGAAACCACATTTATGAAATATAATTGAATGGCCTCAGAGCTGAAACTAGCACAATGCAATGCATAAACTAGTTGGCTACTCAACAGAAGCAAAGCATATCATTCGTAGAATTGTAATTTGGAAATAGGTCTTTCTACAAGGTCTGCATTGAAGATATATTCAATTCAACAGCATTGAACAAGTCTCAACAAGCATCCAAATAACCTTTGGCAAACTAGAGTAGAAAAAAACCCCATCTGAGTTACTTTTTCATTAAATCATGTTATTAAGTAAACAGAGAAGAAAAAACTTGGCTTGTGTACTATAAAAAGGCTTTTGACAACTAGATAAATATAAATAGCAGCATGTATAACTTGTAGCACATATGCAATTTTAAAATCTCTATAATACATCAAATAGTTCTCTGGAGTTAATATTTTTCTATTTCATTAGGATTTCTGTACTACCTTTGGGCAGTTCTTCAAAATTTAAGATATTGAAGTTAGATGTGTTGTGTCCATTGAACAAGCATACTTTCAAAACTCAAGTAACAATTGCTGGAGGGTGATCCCCCGCTTACATCCCTGATAGGAATCTAATTGCCACTTCATTTAGAGAGAGTCAGTTAGGTGTAGTGGTGACGGCACCAGGCTAAGAACTTGGGCACAATAAGTTCTAATCCTGCCTTAGGCATGGATCCAGATGTGTGATTTTAGGCCAGTTATTCTCTCTCAGCTCTAGGACAAAGGCAATTGCAAAACACTTCCAAAAATTTTGCTAAGCAAATTGCAATGACTGGTTCACCAGGAATCAATACAAATTTGAAGGCACCCTCCATCCCAATTAGTGCTATGTATGTCATCTTGAGCTCTTGAAGGGAAGGTGGGATATAAATCTTACAAACAACTACTTAGAAACAGATGATGAATGTCACAGCGCTTAGGTGAACACCTTTCATATAAATCATCTTAAATATATTAGATATTAGTCTCACCCATTCAAGGTTGACTCAGCCTTCCATCCTTCCGAAGTGGTAAAAGAGGACCCAGATTGTTGGGGGCAACATGCGGACTATGTAAACTGCTTAGAGAGGGCTGTAAAGCACTAAGTGCTATTGCTATTGCTATAAATCATCTTAAACAGATATTAGTTTCAGACAAACCTGATTTACTAGGCCATTCCCAGTCTCCTGAAATATCTGGCTGAATGGAAACAGTTGGTGTACTGGAAGGACCTTAAAAGATAAACATTGCCATTTAGCAATATTTTTAAAATAATAATATAAAAAGTTATCTGTGCATTTGCTCTAGCTTTTATCACATTGTTTCTGGGAAATTCACCATGTTTCTCATTAAATAAATATATATGCAATTTTCTCAAAATAAATAGCTTGTGAGTACAAGTTTCATCAGAAATGAATATCTAAAATGTTTTCAATTCATTTTCACAAAATCAATAGGCATGCTTTTTGTCATCTGGAAAATTCAGGTTCATGAACTTTATATAGGAAGAAGTTATCATGCAACCCTTAAAAACTGTCATGCAACAATGCCTATTAAAAATGCCTAAACCACAAGTAGCCAACATGTTCCTAATGGATACCAATGCACTACTATGTTCCCAATTCCATAGCATAGGCTGTTATGACTATTGTGTCCAGGTATTTTTGGACCTTCGACATTTTAGATTTTTATTTTTTTTTCAATCCTTTCCTTGTCCTTAGCTATGGATGCATAACCTTCGCTACGATAGTATAAATCCTGGAGTTGATCGTATGTGCATAACCTCATTCTGAAATATCGGCAGGGTCAAAGTTCAAAAAATGGCTCATGTGTGAACTGGAGTTCTCAATAAGGAAATATCAGCTGTGCCAATGTCCAGCAGATCATTGGGTGAAAATTGATATTATTTGCCACCACAAAGATTTTCTTCATGATATTGGATGAAAAGCAGAAGGCAAAATATTGCTTCAGCAATTGAAAGCTTGGAAAATAAGCACTTGACACTCTGAGTATGAAAAAGGCCTCTACTTCAGGTCAACAGACAATGTTAATGACTTAATGTAAGCAAAAATTTCTCATGCAGCCACGCCACTTGGAGTGTCTGGGAAGCATCTGCCAAGGTTGAATCAGATCACTGGGGTTGAACAGATTTTTTGCAAATAAGATCTTATTCACATTTTTTAAAAACTATGAGAGTTTTTCCAAAAAGCTTATTAATCACCATACAATGGTATGCTATTTGACCTGCAAACAATTTGAACTGTGGTTTATTGTTCTTAATTAAATGAACATGGATATTTTACTGCTGAGTAGATACTGAAGGATTCAATCTGGGTCAGTCACCAGAAAGAGAAGTGCTCTGAGGATGGCTCCAGCACGAGACTGAAAGCTCGAAATACTAAACCTCTGGTCCCGGTGACTGACCCAGATTGGATCCTGCAACATTATCCTTTATATCCCAGCAGTATATTTGCCTTCATTCATGAACAGTTCCTGTTCACAGCAGTATCTTAAAGAAATTGGAAAATAAAGCATCTTACTTCTTCCATTTGCAAATAACCCACATTTCAAGAGGGAAAAGGTCAGTACCATCAATTGTTTTTCTCATAATTCAAAAATAAAAAAAGACATCATACCCATGTTAAAAGGATCCCCTTGCACTGTAGGTGAAGGACTTCTTGTTGCTTGAAGAAAAGGATCACTTTTGGCATTTGATGAAAGGAAAGAGCCTAAAAGATCTGGGACAGGTTGCTTAGGACTACCCCCAAATGGGTCAAAGGCAGATGCTGGGGGAAAAAAGGTTAATTCTAAGAGCATGCTTCTCCTTTCTATTCCAATACTGGGCAATATACTTATATTTTAAAGAAATTGTGTAATATTCTTAACTTTACATAAACTGTCATTAAGGTGAACCACTGCCCAAGCAAGTGTCACCATTCTTTTAATATAATGGTAAAAATGGAAAAGGGAGATTGCAGCAGTCATTAGGTTGAGGAAAAACAACATTGAACTCATGCTGTGGGGATGATAGATGACACACAGCTTTCAACAAATACTTATCAAGAACGCCTGTTGTCACAATGTAAATAGGCAATTGCATTGGTAAAGGATTATATCTGGAAGGGCACAGGACATGCCAGTGGGTGTCATAACACACCCTGCTCCCTTGGCATATACAATCCAGCTAGAGAAAGCACTCGGGTAAATAATACCTGGTTAGCATTACATCTAGTTGATAGAATTCACAATTCTTTGCAGAAAGCAAGCAACCAGAGTAGCAATAGATAAAATCAGCAAAAGCCTAATAAAGCATTGCTTGTTAAAAATGGATTTTTTTTCATCTTGCTGTCCTTATTGTCTCCTAGCTTTCCTCCTACTGTTTAAAGATCAGTTGTTGGGATCAAAACAACAAAAAGTGTGGTTCTGGCCTGGATCTTACATTGCCTATATTCATAGTCTCTCTCTTGAAATATACAATAGGCTAGAAAGGATTGAAAATATACATAAGAAACTCTCCTGTTCTCTTATCTGCCAGTGCAATACTATGCTTGTTCTACAAAAAAAATCCAGATTTTCCTGAGTTGCATAAAATAGGGGAAGTGAAGAAACTGCTGGTAAATAGGGAAAATTGGCCAGCACTAAATGGAAGTCTTTACATCTGAGTTCTGAGGAGAGATTTTTTTTAAAAAATCTTCTCTCCACATCTTAAAATATAGCAGTTAGTAGCTGTACAGACTAATAATCACGAAGAGTAATGTATAAATCCAAAGGAAGACACAACTCTTTCATGAGGAATCTTGTTTGGCATCAATTGCTTAAAGCGAACTTTGTTTGTAAAGCACTGTAAGGTTATGGTTAAGATTTTTGTTTTTTTACCTTCTCCTATTCTTGGGGACAACGATGGGGAGGCTGAAGATGCAGGCCGCCGTGGAGTTGACTGTGCTGAACCAGTTCCACCCATCTGAAAGACATCTTCAACAGCTCCCTGACCGCCTTGATTTAATCCTCCAGAATTTCCAACCCCAAAAAGGTCACTCAGCAAGTCTGAGTTAGATGGTGGTGCAGTGGGGGCTGCCGGATAGTTCATAGGAGTGCCGTCCAAACCTAAAAGATCTACATCCTCTTGTGGAGGTGGGCCTGGCTTCTCTGGCTGCTTTTTGCTGTGCTTTGAAGTGCTGTGAATTTTGTCAGTGCTAGTGCCACTGTGCTGACTGGAGAGGGATAAGAGTTCGTCATCAGATTGCTCGCTTTCTTCATGGACCAGTGCTGCCCTGTCCTCAGAGCTGGGATGAGAACTGGTTCTTTCTGCCTTTTGATCTAAGTAGTAAAAACAGCTTAATGTTAGCTAGCAGCTTTGTGGTTCTTCTAAGGCAGGAAAAAAAAAATCCTTGGGGTGAAAACAGCCCCATGTGAAAGCAGACAATACCAAGAATAATAATTAAGTACTATTGTTTAATTCTCAATGCACAGAGAACATCCAAACTATAAATGAATGTATGGTGTTTGCGTTCAAGTGATTTTACAGCCATACATTTCTGTGTGGAGATAGCAAGAATAAATCTGGCTGGCTCAAAAATGTGAACTAAATTCCATGCGCATGCAGGTATTTTGTATAAATTAAAGAATGCCTGTGGAATATGGTGTAATACGTACGAGATCCCTGAAAAGAGGCTGGAAGATGAAGGAGGAAAGGAAACTAATAATGAGCTGTGAGTTCTGAAAGAGAGATTACTTAAGGAGAAATCATATGTACCTTGCCAGCTGAGAGATGACAAGAATGCACCCTGGCCAACATTCTTTAGGTTATCTTGCACTGCATCTACAGAACTTCTACCTATAATGTAAAAGGAGTCCAAAGAAATCAAAGATGAGTGGATTTAAAATAGCCAAGCTTGATATTTTCATGAAAGCTGAAATCTCCAGTCTTTGGCCATGCTGACTGGGGATTTGATGAAGTGGAACTCATCGACTATGTGGGCACCAGGCTGGGGATTATTCCTCCAGATAAAACAACCGTCTTCCTTACCTGCCAGAGCAAGAGTGTCTTGATGTTCCTGAGGCGATGAGAAAAGAATGCTTGGGTTGATGTCTTTTGTGGTGAAATTCTCCCATGGAGGAGTTAAGTCAGTCTGCCTATCAGTCGAATCTACTTCCACCTCCACAATGATATGGAAGAGATGGGGATATTTTTCTGGTGAATCACATGCGTCCAGCTCAGGCCTAAAGATTCAAATTAATTCAAAGAAATGGTTTGAAGATCACTTGTTAAATCATATTTTGAGCCTGAATATAGTAGTGACAATTTACTTATACAATGTGATTCTTTTTAATTAAAGGACTAATGTTACTAAGGAAGAAGTCCTATAGAAGTTCCTAATAAAAATTGATTTAAGATTTAAGTATCTGAACCTTGGCGTGCATTTCTCATTGGAAACAAAGAAGGGTATTTTGGACTGAATGTGTTTATTTATTTTTATTGATTTATTTATTTGATTTGTCAATCGCTTACAAGATCATAGATATAAGTATAAACATGAGTAAGAATACAGGAAATAGGTATGAATAAATGGGGACAATAGGACAGGGATGGTAGGCACGATGGTGCACTTATGCACTCCCCTTACAGACCTCTTAGGAATGGGATGGGGTCAATAGTGGTTAGTTTGAGGTTAAAGGAGTGGAGGTTAGGTTCCCAGACTCCAAATGAATAAATGCAGAAAATGTTTCATAGATGCCTGAAGGAAAAGATATATACAGTTCTTTTTAAGGCAGGTAAAAAGGTTCATTCACATTTAATGTTTTCTTTGATGAAAACCTTGTTCAGCTTGAGATAATTTTACAGAAATCCGTGACCCAACCAAAGTATTCACAGAAGAAGCTATGATCCTTGTAGCCTACTCAACACCTCTTAATACATCTCAGTTACTATCTCCTGAGCACTGACTTATTTCTTCAGCTAATAGAAAAGAGAAACATAATTATTAGCGCAGCTGAAAGGACTTAAAGGTAATTCTCTGGCTGAGTTAGTGCTGTTAGCTTCTCTAATTACCTAGATTCATCTCTATATAGGGGCTGGTTTGCAGGCTTCTGAGTGCTGGATCTTGCTCACTACTCAGATATTACATGAATCATGTAGGACAGAGCTGTCAAACGGTGGTGTCATGTGATGTATCACAACTTTTTCCGCTTCACTAAACCAAGCATGTGGCACATCCACGGGCCACGAGTTTGGCAGCCCTGATGTAGAATATCCAACCCTGATGCAGAAAAATAAGTTGAAATTAATTTTAAATTCCCATGTGGTCTAAATTTTGCAATAATTTGGCACTATACCATGAGTTTATTAGAATCTGCTTGGGCTTAATTTGATTTCTTCAAAATTAATTTTGATATGTTGGATGTTTTACTCACTTTTTGCAGCTAAATGTATTTCATTAATGCACTGTAATTATTCTTATGCAATTATATTCTATAACTTATTTTCAAAAATTCCTGGTTTGGAGATAAAGTAAATATTTCTTATAAAGATATTTATTACAATAAGACCTCATAATATCCATTTTCATTCAGTTCAGTGTTCTAGAGATACTTACTTAGTAAATTTTAATGTTGTTGATTCCAGAGGTACAAATCCAGTGTGAAACTGAATCTGGAACATTTGTGTGTTTGTCATCTGTAAACATCATTAAATACATAATTTTAAAATTAAAGAAAACCATAGCAAAATTCAAATGTTTATCATGGAAGAACTATCAAGTCAGTTGTATTCACTTTATTTTAGTACAATAGGAATAAAAACAAAAAATATTGAAGCAATGAAGAAATAATAATTTGGTCTAGAGAGCCAATTTGCTCTAGTGATTAAGGGATCTGGCTAGGAACCAGTAGACTGTGAGTTCAAATCTCACTTTAGGCATGAAAGCCGACCAAGTGACTTTGGCCTAGTCACTTTCTCTCAGCCTAACACATCATCTGATAGGGTTGTAGTTGTGAGGAAAATAGGAGGGGGAAAGAGTATTGACTATGTTTTCAGCTATTTATTTAAAAATGGGAAATAAATCAATAAATGATTAATTTGTTCACTTATTGTTGAATTCAGACTAGTGGCACATCTGTACATTCCCCTCTCCCCAAACTTAGAATCAAGGTATCTCACTGTTTTCTAAGACCAGGGGTGTCAAACTTACATCGTCACGGTGGCATCACATGACATATCAGGACTTTTTCCCCCCTCCCTAAACCAGGCGTGGGTGTGGCCAGTATGTGACACACCGGGCCCATGGATCAGGTGTTTGACATCCCTGTCTAGGACTGTGAACTAGGAATCATTGGATTTTGCTGACTGATTCAGGGCTGGATTAAGGCCAGCTGATGCAGTAAATACAGTCCAACAACAATGTCCATTGGCCTCTCCATTGCTTAACTCAGGGTACACCCAACAAGTGATAAAAACTAAAGTTGAGTTTGGCATGAAAGGGTTAAAGGCATGATAGCTGGGAGGAAATACACTGTGGTGCCCTAAGCACATTCTTATTTTGCTTAATGGTTGATCCAGGGCTGGACTGTTTGTGGAAGCAGGATTTTTCATATTACTCTTGACACAACCCTTGCCATATGCATGATGTGTGTTGCTTCTGCAGCAACCATGGTAATGAATGAATCTGCCCACTTCCTATTTGCTGACATCAAGTACTGGTATGAACATAATATTTCAGCAACAAATTTGTTCCTTCAGCTACCAAAGAGTTTTCAGTAAGAAACATCACAACTTTTCTAAATTTGCTTTTTTATATATACAAACATTTTAACTAAGAGAAACTACTGATTACTCTAACAGTCTTTCTGAGTAATATGCTTAAATCCAAGGTTTATATTATACTATTAAAATATTTTAGATCAGCTAAAGTTCCTGAATGTTTAACCTTGCATTTTAAAAATACATCAAGTCATACTTTAGCTTGCAGCCGTCCCCCAATGGTGGATCTCATATGGTAGACAGAAACAACTACATCACCATGGACAGTGACTCCTAGTGGAATAACAACTTTTCCTTCTTGAACACGGAATTCCCTAAGGAAAAAGCAAGCAGAACATTCTGCCTAACATGATATTCGTAAGGAATCACAACATAGAATTCACATTGAACAATGCAAACCCAGCAGTTGAACATTGCAGTTCAGTGTAGTTGAGTTGGATGGAGTCAAAAAGCACAGTGCTGGGATTAAAATAAAAATATTGTTCATTTTTATTCTGACTTCTAGTCTCAAAAACTGTTTAATTCATAGATTATACAGACAACAATTCATATAGTAAATACTATACAACTCATATGACTTTCACTGCACCTCCATGTAAGCTGTTTATGATCAAACATTATCGTGTATTGACATAGTATTAGCAGACATGTGGCATTCAAGCTGCTCAAAAGCAAAAGCAAAACTTCAGAGGAAGGCACAAAATAGCATCAAATGTATGGAATGCATGAACCGTAGATGCATGAAAGGGTTGGCTAATTGATGTCAGTCTGAAGGGAGGTGTGGATGGATGGATGAATGTAGGATATCTTCACAGATATGAGCACTTCACGCAACTGAGATTTCCATCTCCCTGAAGGAAGCAGTAGCTGCTGAAATCCAATCAACATCAATCATAATTGACTGAAAGCCTGGGTGCCTAGGTCATGTGGAATTAGCTCACCTGTGTTACCATAGGTATATACACATTAAACAACCAAAGTGGGATTTTATCAGTACAGTCAGCAGAGAGCAGCTTACTTCATTCTTTCATATTCCAGTGATGTTGTAAATATTCTAGTTTCTCCAATAAGGATGTCACAGAAAGGTCGGCAGCCATTTCTCTGCTTGTTGAAACAGGGCACTGGACTAAGGAGGACTGATTTGATGGTTATAGGCTTGCAGTGAGGCTGGACAGGTTTGTCTGCTATTAGATCACAAATATACCCTAAATACCTGAAATGAAAAAGGGAATTCATAAAAATCTACATGTATTCTTTGTTCTTTGGCTCTACAGGGAACTTGATTGATTATCATAATGAAGATTTTCAACAGCACATCCTACAGTCAAGAAAATTTAATTTTTAATGCATGCTTGCCAACATTAATGTCAAAAGAGCAAATGTAGTGAAAAATCCTGAATTAATCAAGGGGAAAAAACAAATAAAAATACAGATTTGACATATCTGACTTAAAAACTACAGAAACAAGCTCTCCCTGCCTCTAAGATAATGAGCACTTAGTATGGAAAAGTGACAAAAAAAATTCTGCTTCATTTTGCTGCTGCTTTTCTGAAAACCATCCCTTCTAACTATTCCTATTTCCACCTACCCATCAACCAGTTGGATGGCAAGCTGCCCAGAAGAGCACAGGTCCCAAAATAAATTGTGTGTAGCCCATGCTCAGCCTTGCCATAGAACTTAATCAGTTTTCCCAACACTATTGTCCCCACACCGCCCCGTGGGTGTTATAGTATAACTTCTATCATGAGTCCCACTTGGGAAGATAGAACCAGCCTAAGGAAGTCTGATGTAGACGTTTCTGTCCAAATAACATTTTTCTATTTTTGAAAAGGTGATGACTTCCTGTCTAAAACCATATCTTTATATTCTTTGGGAATAACTGAAGATTCTTGCATCCACATAATTGGAAGAGTCTAACTTTAACAGGACTCTCTCGATATATGTTTGAGAATGCAGCTGTAGAAAAACAGAAGTGTAAAAATGCTTGACACTATCATTGAAAACCTTTTAAAACCAAGCTTCAGCCATTCAACCAAATTTGATAACACTGTTTACATTGATTTGAGTGCAGTTAGGAAGCTGTTAGAGAACCAGTTTGGTATAGTAGTTAAGGCACTGGGCTAGAAACCAGGAGATTGTGAGTTCTAGTCTTACATTAGGCACAAAGCCAAATGGATGACCTGGCACTCGTCACTCTCTATCTCAAGGGTCTTCAAACTTGGCCAATTTAAGACTTGTAGACTTCAACTCCCAGAATTCCTGAGCTAACATAACTGGAGGAGGAATTCTGGGAACTGAAGTCCACAAGTCTTAAATCTGTCAAGTTTTAGGGTTTTTTTAACAAATTTTATTCAGTTTTTCACATTAAAAACAAAAATCTCTTTTTAGTGGACAACATATTTCTGGGTCATCAACTTTACATACAAATATGACAGCAATTATACCTTCATATATGCATACTTAATTCTATTATTACCTTTTCCATTCCAAATTTTCAGTAAGGAGAGAAACAAACACATTAATTCTAGCCTCTTTCATTAATCTCAATTGAAACATCTTTTTGTTTCATTTCAATTATTTCAAATATAATCCTTTAATATTTATTTTAAAAATAAAGATAAACAAAATGTTTGCATAATAATAATAATAATAATAATAATAATAATAATAATAATAATAATAAGAAGAAGAAGAAGAAGAAGAAGAAGAAGAAGAAGAAGAAGAAGAAGAAGAAGAAGAAGAAGAAGTAGTAGTAGTAGTAGTTACCAATGTCTCTCCTTGCTTTTAATAGTCTATATTAACTTATTAATTTAGTTGGTTCCTTAGTCTGTCATATTCCCTTTCCATTACCATTCTTTTTATAAATTCTAGATTAATACAAATTTTAACACTAAAGAAAAAAAAAAACAAGTATAGGTTTCCCCCCTTTTACTGCTTTAGTGTGACACCTCAATGATTAAAATATACCTTTATTCCCTCATCTTGATTCCCAATAAACCATTATTTTTAAGAAGTTACAAAAATAATCATTACATCTTTTCATTTGGATTCCACAGCATATTTTCTCCCCTTCATTTTTAATAAAAGTTATCAGCATCTATATAACCCTATTTTCTAAACATTTTTAATTGCAGAAATATTCTTGTTACCCCTTGTCACCCTGCAGAATCACCTTTTTAATTCATCAACCATTATTTCTTAAAAAACAATTTCTTTTCAACATTTTACTATTTCCGTATTTATTTCATGCACCTGTTTCTTACTGCTTCTCCTCCCCCTCTTTTCCCCATATCTTTTCTCATTCCAGTTTATATCCCTCTCTTTCTTAATACCTTCCTTTCCCCTTTCCCGCTGGGTCTTTCTGCCTTTCCCAACTTCATAGGTATTCCACCTTTTGATTGACTTCTTAAGTCTCAACTTTTTAACCTTCCTTCTTTCCCCACTTCTTTGTAGCGTTCTTTGTGTTGTCTATTTAAGATGTCTTCTCCTTGAATCGACTCCTCCTCCTCTGAAGCTTTTTCTTCTTGTTCTTCAATCGCCATTTCCATTTTTTCTAACACAGACCAAAGTGAGTCGTCTCTTTCCTGTAGTAATTCTCTCATATTTTTAAGTTCCATTTTTAATTCCTGAAGAGATATCATCATTACACACTCTTGTATTTTATGATCGTTAAGGTCCACAAAAAAAACCCACTTTTACTTTCCTTCTTTCTTCTTTCAATTTTCTAAAGTTCTCAATTATTCCAGCCCACGGTCTATACCAAAAACATCAATCAATCCCACAGTCAGTCTTTCCTTGCTTTTTTCTTTATTCTGGTTCTGCTTTCACTTTCTAAGATTCTTACTTTGTTTCAATATTTCTTTATCCACACAAGTTCATTCAGAAACAGGATGCTTTCCCTTTTGTTTGAGCGCAGGTTTTTGTCAGAAGGTGACACTCTCCATTATACAAAGTCTTCATCTTTTTCCCCTATTTTTTTGTTTAGGGTTTTTCGAACTTCAATATTCCAGCACAGTCCAGTCTCCAATTTGTAAACTTTATTATTATTATTTTTTGACAATCTTAAGTCCAGCTTTATTTTATGCCTGTTTATTGCCAAAATATTTTAGTCCAATTTACTTAAATCTTTAGTTCCAGCTTCTTCTTTTCCCGGTTTGAAGCCCCGCTCAGCTGTCAAAAATATTTTCTTATTTTTTTTCCTGTCCTTTTGTCATTTCGCCGCTCACTTTTCTTTTCTTAAAAATTCCATGTTCTTAATCCCGGGGTACTTTTGTTTAGTTGCATTGCCCAATTGTCCCGGTTCAGATGTCATCCACCTTTTTCTTCCCTCCTGCACAAAGCTTAATCCAGTTGAGTTCTCCTCTTTGGGGTGGCCATTTTAAACCACCGCTGCAGTCGTCTTTGGGGGGAAAAAGACCAAGCCCAGGAGGGGAGATGCGGCTCCCCTCAACCTGGCTTGCAGCTTCCCCTTACTCCGCTGCCCCTCCAAGGCAGTTTCAGCCTCTAATCGTAATGATCGGGGCTCTCCAATGAAAGAGAGCCACAGAGAGTCACAATCTATGGTCCATCAGCGAGGAGACTTCACCTTCCAAATCTGTCAAGTTTGAAGACCCCTGCTCTATCTCTATGCCCTGGGAAAAGGCAATGACAAAAATTATTGCTATAAAAACTGCAGGTATTTGCCCAGGTAGTCACTAGGAGTCAACTCTCTCTAAGGAAAAATAAAAAATAAAGATAGATGTTGCTGTTAAAAGGAATGAGATTGACTAAAATCTGGATCCAGAAACTAAGAACCATGATGGTGCAGTGGTTAAAATGCAGCATTGCAGACTAATTCTGCTGACTTCCAGGAGTTCGATTCTCACCCACTCAAGGTTGACTCAGCCTTCTATCCTTCCAAGATTGGTAAAATGAGGACCCAGATTGTTGGGGGCAATAGACTAACTCTGTAAACCTCTTAGAGAGAGTTGTAAAGCAATGTGAAGCAGTATATAAGTGTAAGTGCTATTGCTATTGCTAAGTGAATTAGTATCCCATGATATAGCAATAGCACTTAGACTTATATACCACTTCACAGTGCTTTATAGTCCTGTCTAAGTGGTTTACAGAGTCAGCATATTGACCCCAACAATCTGGGTCCTCATTTTACTGACCTCAAAAGGATAGAAGGTTGAGTCAACCTTGAGCTCAGTGAGATTCGAACTGCCAGATGGTAGGCAGTCGGCAGGCAGCAGAAGTAGCCTGCAATACTGCATGATATAATATAGCAGTTGCCAACCGGTGGGCCGTGGCCCACTGGTGGTCTGTGGCAAAATTTTGGTGGTCTGCAGAGAAATGGCAGAGTAATAGCCCACAAAAGCAATTAATCTGGGCCAGGTGGGAAAACAAGGCTGCTCTGCCCACATGACCCACCCACCCACTGACCCCCACCCTTTGGCCAAGCACAAACCTTGAGACTGAGTAGAGAGTCATGTGAGCTGCACCTGGAAGGTAAGACCAATGGTGGGTGAGGGAAATCCACCCTGAGGTGACTTGCTAATGTTGGTGGGAAAGTTGGTCCCATATTCCAGAGATGTAGTAGTCACAGGACTGGCCATTTGGCCATCCCGGAGCAGTTCCTCCATCAGGATGACTACACTCTGAAATATGGGACCGGCCCATGGTGGCTGGAATGAGGTAATGGTGCTGTTGTGGGGTGGGCTGCGGGCTGAAGCGTGGTGGCTGGAAGAAGCAGTACTCACATTTTCATCGCCCTTCACCACGATATATTTACGGTAGCTGGTGGTGCCAAGGCAGCCCCTCGTGTCCTGCCACGTCTGTAGTGCAGCAGAGAGAAACAGCTTGAGTCAACCCTAACCCTGCATATGCTAAATCGGCCCCTGCAAACTGTTGTCTCTGTAGCTGAAGCAGTGTGAGAAACCGGCTGAGCTCTCAAGAGACAAGAGTGACTCTAGCTGCTTCTCTCGTCTCTCTCAAAGAGCGCCCGATAGCTTGGCTGGAGGAGGAACCTCTCTCATCCCCCACTCTGCGAGGTGGGTGGCGGGGAAGCGGCACTTGGGAGGAGCAGATCGGCCACTGCCAGGCTCTGTGGTTTCTCTCCCGCTGAGGGTGCAGCCATCAGGCAGGGAGGAAACAGTGCCCGGCTCCCCTCCCGGGGCAGGAGAGGTAAGGAACAGCAGAAGTGGCAGATGGAAGGCTGATGGAGGAAAGCAACTCTCCTCTTGTGGGGGGGGTGAAGGTGTCAACCTCTCCCCCTTTCCTTGCCTGCCTCCAGGTGAGGCTGGAAGAGCCCTAGCATCCCCGTCCTGGAGCACCCACTTTCTCCCCTCCCCCCCCCATTAATCAAGGGCAGCAGTCCTTCTGCAGGAAGCTGCCTGCTGAGAAGCCCCTGGAGGGGTGGCCGAGGGGTGCTGCCCCTCAAAGAGAGCAAAGCCCCCTTTCTGCCTCTGCTTCTCCCAGCGGCAGTTGCCCTAAGGCCTCTCAGCTCATACCCTCCCTTGCTCTTCTGTCTCTTCGGAAGATGCAGGTGGGGGAAGGGATGGAAGCAGCCCTGCCCTCCTTCCCTCCCCCAACTCCAGGCAGCCACAGTTGCAATTAAATAAGTGTGTGTGTGTATATATGTATGTAATACATATGTGTGTGTGTGTGTATGTGTGTGTGTGTGTTTTCTCAAGTTTGTGCGGGTATTTATATGTATGGTATTCAGCTTTGTTTGGGTATTTCTGGGTCATTTATATATATATATATA